TCTGATGCAATGTTACAAATTTCTGTGACTTTCCTATTTGGCAGTGATCTCAGTGCCAGTCTGACTTAATTTCCCATCTTCTGTGTAGCTGGTCTCAGAAGTACATTGGTTATGATATCTTTGCTAAAAAAGGTCTTATATGTACTCCTTCCATCCTTACTTGATTACAGTTCCATTAGTGATGATGTATCCATGGACATCTTTGGACAGACACATTCAAAGCTGAAATGTTTTTTTTCATGAACCTTTTGGAAAGTGATAACTTGTTTTTCCACATTTATTTCAATCTTTAATCTCTTTACAGATATTGTTGTAATGTTGTTCCTTGTGTCAGCTATTTGGAATTCACTATTCAACCCTTTTACAAGATTTTTATCTGTATAGATTTTAGCTTCTGTTCTCCTTTGTGCACTTTTTAAGCATTTTGTGTCATCTACTTTGATTTCTTGGTATTTTTTATTTTATCCTAGTTTTTATCCGATTCATTCTGGTCATTTTCTATTAGTTCACAGTTCATCTGGTTCTCTATCAATTATGTTTAACATCTGAAATTTGTTTTCAACATTTACTTTAAAGATAGGTGGTACGTTCCTCAGGTTGAATTTTGGAAGACTGTTAGTTGCTAATAAAAGTGAGGTCTTCCATTGTCTGGCACAGGGAATATAGTCTATTTCGGGGGTCAGTAACCAGTAGGTCGTGATCTACCAGTAGATTGCAACCAGGTGGCTGGTAGATTGCAGTCTGGGCTTGCTGATCCACCATCCCAGAGCATCAAACTGAGTGCAATGCAGAGAAACTGTAAAGTTGGAGCTGTAGTAGAGAGAAAAAGCTGCATAAGCTGATGCCTCCTCTGTAGTGCTGGCCCCTGTTCCATGCAGAATGATACCAACTGCACTCCACCTCTTATCTTGGCTAGTGGTCTCCAGAGTGGTGCCAGCAGCAGGAAAGAAGAGACCTTCAGGTCAATGTGAAGCAATACACTGGGTATAGTAGTATAGGGCTGCTTTCACATTGATGCACTGTGGTTTACGGTTTATTTAGAGGTTTAAATCAGGTGTGAGGAGGCAACGGTGTCCGGTGATCTTTTACTGCTCCCATGTTGTTCAGGTAGATCTCCTGCTTTTCAGTGTTGCCTACCCCTAATTTATTTGATTTGTCCATCTGGTAATGCCTGGCCTATAGATGTTAAAAAAAACTTAAGGTACTGATAATCTTAGAGTATTATGTTGCACAACAGCACTTAGATTTAAATAATTTAATAAACTTTGCTTAACCACTTGCCCTTCACAGGATTTACCCCCCTTTCTGATCAGACCATTTGTTGCATTACAGTGCTGCGTTACTTTAACTGACAATTGCGCAGTCATGCAATGCTGTACATAAATGAAATTTACATTATTTATTCCCCACAAATAGAGATTTCTCTTTGTGTTATTTGATCACCTGTGTGTTTTTTTATTTTTTGCGCTATAATAAAAAAAAAAAAACTGACAATTTTGAAAAAAAAAAAAACCTATATTTTTGACTTTTTCCTATTAAACATGTGCAGTAAAGAAATTTTATAAATAAAATTTCATCATAAATTTAGGCCAAAATGTCTTTGCTAAAAAAAAAAATCCCAATACGTGTAAATTAATTGGTTTACGTGAAAGTTATAGTGTTTCAAATGGCGATTATATATACTGGAATTTTTTTTTATACTAGTAATGGTGGCAATCAGCGACTTTTATAGCGGGACTGCTAATAAAAAGCACGGACTCTGTAATAATGGCACTGGGCAGGAAGGTGTTAACATGTGGGGTGATCAAAGGTTAACTGTGTGCTATTTTACTATGTGGGCTGTGTGTGCTTTACATTGTAAGCACACTGCTTTGTATGGCCATAAAAAGCAGTGTGCAGAGCTGACAGGGGGAGAGATCTGTATTGTTTACATACAGGCCTCTCCCCTGTCGGTAATACTTGGAGATCGCTGGGTGCCGGCAGGGAATCACCGGCCGGGACCCAGTAAATGACAGCCAAGACCGCGCCCCCTACCCGCAACTGCAAAATCACATACACACACATATATATGTGTGATTTTGCACACCTGTGCCGTCCTGTAGCAGTATTTCTGCTATAGGGAAGCATGGAAGCAGTTAAAAACTGTTGTTAAAACATAAACATTTGCATTCATTAGCTGGATGCTACATTTTTTTAACTTGTGTTGTATTTAGCAAAACGTGTTTGGGATCTTTTAGAAGTGCAAGAATAAAACATCATAACTGCAACTCAAATTTAAATACAATCCAAAATGTGTAGTATACCCATCAACATGCTTAAAGAAATGCAAGTTCTTTTATTTACTCACATGTGAACATTTTTTTTTTCAATACAAAAATCCAACATTTTGCTGTTCTGTTGTTTGTCTTTAATATGACTGTTACTTTTGTGGAAAACTGCAAAAAATAAGAATGTTGCTGTCTGGAAAGACCCCTGCCTATGGGAAAGTGAACTAAGAAAAGCAAAGAAATCTTTTAACTCCTGACCTCAGTTTCCTGTGTCTAATCTGGGAGTATGAACCCCCGACTGCTAGTGGCCTGCAATGAATTATTATCATCTCTTGAGACCTTGGAGCATCTACCTTCTGTTCACCAGATCCCAACAAATGATAGAATTTTGTTCTTTCCATCTCAGATATCAACCTTTGATGCAATGTCAGCCATCAATTGAAAGAAGAATAATGGGGAGACTCAGTACAGATAACAGTTATATAAATAAATGCAAAGGTTCCCATCCAGAGCAAAAGATTAATAAATGAATGTAAATGCATTGACATGTGAGCACAGCTGGATCTTTCCTGTGAGTCATACTTATTAAAGCCAAATTAGAGAAAAGTGCAGCCATTTAGCTACAAATCCAATTCTGGCTTTTTATTTTTAGTGCAGATTATGGAACAAAATGTAAAACCTAATTGGCTGCTACAAATAACTCATCTATTTTCCTCACTATAGCTTTCATGACATTCCTCCATGGTTTTCCACCATTTCACTTACGTACTAGCTAGGAGTGTTCACTGGAAATATTTCATAGTAAACTATTTTGAGAATGTACATGCGTGTTCACATACTGGAGCAGCTCAGTGGCTGAACAAATACTTTAAAGGGGTGTTTTTAATAAATTAATTTTTTTTTAACTCTAATGGAAATAGTAAAACACAGAATGCAGTGGTTTGGAAGCAGGAAAATGAAGCCATATTACTGCAAGCAAAAGTATTTAATATCAGAGGTGGAATTATAAATTTGATACCACTGTTCCTTTTGATACCCTACTTATAGGATTCAAGTTACAAAGGTATACAGGCATATTATAAAAGAGGTGCCATGTATAAAAGGAAGAGAAGCTTATTAAAACATAACATATTGAAACATGTAATTATGGGTATTAACATCTAATATATATATATATATATATATAAAATAGCAAGGACACATTTTATTTAGGAACATTCATTGCAAGGAACATTTACTGTGAACAACAGTGTAACTACATCCATAGCCACTCAGGTGGTTGCAAGGGGTTTTGTAACCAACGTAACTCATCCTCTGCACTGTCATTCACTCCTTCCTTTTCTTCATGCTGTAAAATAGATTTCACAGCTAGTTTTGAACAGAAAGAACTACTTTCTGTGCATCAATCGACCTAGATCAGCCTATTTGCAGAAGGGGTGAGGTTCATCGGTGTATGGCACAGCTGTGTGGACCTTTTGGCCATTCAAGCAGTTCTGCCAAGTAGGCACGTGTATGACGTGACTGTCATCAGTTTAAGATTGACCATTAATTTTAATGGATGTCATCAGGGGTGTTAAATATGTTACTGGCCATTCATTTTTATAGTGCTTATATGAGGGTTAATACTGGAAAGTGTCTATCAACATTATCAGAGACTGTTACTAGGGGAATGTGCTATTTTGGCCACTGATGCAAAAAAAATAAAGGTCGGTATCACTGAGAGAATTTAATAATGGAACAGGAAGTTCACAATCACAATGTGTGGTGGAAAATGAGAAAGCAACAATCTCAGGCCAAAAACCTGGTGGACCTGGCAGAAGACTATAGGTGTGATGCCTAATGATGTCAGGTAAATATGGGAATGCGTGCATTTTTAAATGCGTTTACATGTATCTCTAATTACAATTCTACTATTATTATTTGGAAATACCAAATTGAATTCACTACATCACAAGCTTATTTTATTATTATACAGGATTTATATAGTGCCAACAGTTTGCGCAGCACTTTACAATATAACAGAAGACAATACAGCAACAATACAGTTCAATACAAGAGGGTTAGGAGGGCCCTGCCCCTTGGAGCTTACAATCTAAGAGGGAGGTTTTATTAGGTTTCTTATGACCTTATCATATTGAATGAACTGTGTTTCATTATAAACCTTACCCATGGGCAGCACTGCTTCTACTTACTGAGCATCTCCAGCATATTTACCACTACCATAATAACTTTATTAGAACACAAATAGAAAGAAATTGGGAAATTTGTACATGAATCCAGAAAACCCCTATTTTCTCAGTGAATGAAGGCCACACAATACCTTAAGAATCCACTGGGTAAAACCTATCATGTAAAAAAAAGACATTTACCCTAAAGTTATTTTCTCCTTAGCAACAATGGACCCTCTGCAACAAAATACCACCACAGTAAAAATATGCCTCCAGCAGCAACAACAGATCTTCCAGAAGTCAGTATCAATAGACCTCTCACTCAACAATAGATCCCTCCCAGCAACAATTGACCCCCCAGCCACAATAGATTCCCCACCAGCAATAATAGACCCACATTCAAAAACAGATCCCCTAAAGTGACAAAGGATCTCCCAGCAGCCAGCATCAATAGACCCTCCAGCACACCCTGGCACCCCTTGCCATTACATACATTCAGTGCTAGAAGTGTCAGAACTGCATTCCCTATGTTCCTGCTCAAAGAAAAATCCTGTTGATATCATACCTTTTTAGGTGATTGTGTGCCTGACCTGTAAGACCTACATTAGGAAATGTCCTGCCATACGTGGGTGAAGTAACAGCTGTGGAACCTGAAACAGTAAATACTCTATTAAGAAAAACAAGTGTATAAAACATATAAATTAACCATAACCTACATTAGCTTTTGCTAGTGTCAAAAGTGTTTGGCCCCTATAGTTATGTCAAATATATACAGTTGTGTTCAAAATAATAGCAGTCAGACATCACTAACCTGATCAGTCACTGTTTTTGGTAGAAATTATATTTCTACATGGCAAATAATTTACTAGCAGGTGTAGTAGAGTAATAGAAATCCAACAGACCCAACAGTCATGACATGCATGCTGCTGCTGATTCTGTGTAACTGAATCACTAATTGAAAGGGGCATGTTCAAAATAATAGCAGTGTGGAGTTCTATTAGTGAGGTCATTCATTCTTTGAAAAACAGGTGGCAATGATTGCCCTTATTTAAGGAAGGAAGGAAGGCAGCAAATGTTGTACATGCTGGTTACAGTGCATTTCTCTCTGAAATTCTGAGGAAAATGGATTGTTCCAGACATTGTTCAGAAGAACAGCGTACCTTGATTAAAAAGTTGATTGGAGAGGGGAAAACATATAAAGAAGTGCAGAAAATGATAGGCTGCTCAGCTAAAATGATCGCAAATGCTTTAAAATGGCAACCAAAACCTGAAAGACGTGGAAAAAAGCGAAAAACTACCATTCGAATGGACAGAAGAATAGCCAAAATGGCAAGGACTCAGCCAACAATCAGCTCCAGGAAGATCAAAGAAGATCTAACGTTACCTGTGAGTACTGTTACAATTAGAAGACGCCTATGTGAAGCCAAGCTATCTGCAAGAAGCCCCTGCAAAGTCCCACTGTTGAAAAAAAGACATGTGCTGAAGAGGTTACAATTTGCCAAAGAGCACATTGACTGCCCTAAAGAGAAATAGCGCAACATTTTGTGGACTGATGAAAGTAAGATTGTTCGTTTTGGGTCTAGTGGCCGGAGACAGTTTGTCAGACGACCCCCAAACACTGAATTCAAACCACAGTACACTGTGAAGACAGTGAAGCATGGTTGCGCAAGCATCATGATATGGGGATGTTTCTCATACTACGGTGTTGGGCCTATTTATCGCATACCAGGGATCATGAATCAGTTTGAATACATCAGAATACTTGAAGAGGTCATGCTGCCTTATGCTGAAGAGGAAATGCCCTTGAAATGGGTGTTCCAACAAGACAACGACCCCAAACACACCAGTAAATGTGCAACATCTTGGTTCCAGACCAACAAGATTGACGTCATGGAGTGGCCAGCCAAATCCCCGGATCTTAATCCAATAGAAAACTTGTAGGGTGACATCAAAAGTGCAGTTTCTGAGGCAAAACCAAGAACTAGAGAAGAACTGTGGAATGTAGTCCAATCATCCTGGGCTGGAATACCTGTTCACAGGTGCCAGAGGTTGTTTGACTCCATGCAATACAGATGTACAGCAGTTCTCAGAAACAGTGGTTATACAATTAAATATTAATTAAGTGATTCAAAGGAAAGCAAAATCTTCAAAATTTTTCAGTTTATATAGTGAATGTTTGAGTTTGTAAAGAATACAAACACTGCTATTTTTTTTGAACAGTCTAGAGGAACAATATGAGAGACAAAATGAGAAAAAATAAGTATTTGGTCAATATCAAAAGTTCATCTCAATACTTTGTTATATATCATTTGTTGGCAATGACAGAGGTCAAATGTTTCCTGTAAGTCTTCACAAGGTTGGCTTTGGGGCTGTCGCTGGGCAACACGGACTTTCAACTCCCTCCAAAGGTTTTCTATGGGGTTGAGATCTGGAGACTGGCTAGGCCACTCCAGGACCTTGAAATGCTTCTTACGAAGCCACTCCTTTGTTGCCTGGGCGGTATGTTTGGGATCATTGTCATGTTGGAAGACCCAGCCATGTTTCATCTTCAATGCCCTTGCTGATGGAAGGAGGTTTGCACTCAAAATCTCACAACACATGGCCCCATTTATTCTGTCCTGTACATGGATCAGTCATCCTGGTCCCTTTGCGGAGAAACAGCCCCAAAGCATGATGTTGCCACCACCATGCTTCACAGTAGGTATGGTGTTCTTTGGATGCAACTCAGCATTCTCTCTCCTCCAACCATGACGAGTTGTGTTTCTACCAAACAGTTCTATTTTGGTTTCATCTGACCATATGACATTCTCCCAATCCTCTTCTGGATCATCCAAATGCTCTCTAACAAACTTCAGACGGGCCCGGACATGTACTGGCTTAAGCAGGGGGACACGTCTGGCACTGCAGGATCTGAGTCCCTAGCGGCGGCGTAGTGTGTTACTGATGGTAGCCTTTGTTACGTTGGTCCCAGCTCTCTGCAGGTCATTCACTAGGTCCCCCCGTGTGGTCCTGGGATGTTTGCTCACCGTTCTTGTGATCATTTTGACCCATGGGGTGAGATCTTGCGTGGAGCCCCAGATCGAGGGAGATTATCAGTGATCTTGTATGTCTTCCATTTTCTAATTATTGCTCCTAGAGATGAGCGAATCGAACCAGGCGAACCGGAATTCGATACGAATTTCAGGAAAAATTCGATTCGCGGCGAATCCGAATATTTGCCTACTTCGGGTGCGCAAATCGGATTTTTCCCGATCAGCCGGCAAAAGTGTCCCTGCAGAGAGCTCCGCTATTTCTGACAGTTCTCTGACAGAAGGAACACATGTACAGCGGTTGAAACATTGTATCTATTAGTTTCCATTTGGGATACAGATGTTTCAACCGCTGTACATGTGAAGAAGCTGTCAGAGAACTGTCAGAAATAGAGGAACTCTGCACATACACTTTTTGCCGGTTTGGAATTCTTATTTTCATCCTACTTCTTCTTCTTCTTCTTCTTCTTCATCCTCATCCTCAGAAGAAGAGGAAGAGGATGAGGATGAAGAAGAAGAAGTAGGATGAAAATAAGAATAATTCCAAGCCGGCAAAAGTGTATGTGCAGAGTTTTCCTCTATTCTGCAGATACACTTAGAGGAGCTCTGCAGATACACTTAGAGGAGCTCTGCAGATACACTTTTTGCCGGCTTGGAATTAATCTTATTTTCATCCTACTTCTTCTTCTTCTTCTTCATCCTCATCCTCAGAAGAAGAAGAAGAGGATGAGGATGAAGAAGAAGTAGGATGAAAATAAGAATAATTCCAAGCCGGCAAAAAGTGTATGTGCAGAGTTCCTCTATTCTGCAGATACACTTAGAGGAGCTCTGCTGATACACTTAGAGGAGCTCTGCAGATACACTTAGAGGAGCTCTGCAGATACACTTAGAGGAGCTCTGCAGATACACTTTTTGCCGGCTTGGAATTAATCTTATTTTCATCCTACTTTTCTTCTTCTTCTTCTTCTTCATCCTCACAGAAGAAGAAGAAGAGGATTCAGTAGGATGAAAATAAGAATAATTCCAAGCCGGCAAAAAGTGTATGTGCAGAGTTCCTCTATTCTGCTCTTAGAGGAGCTCTGCTGATACACTTAGAGGAGCTCTGCAGATACACTTTTCTGCCGGCTAGGGTATTTTCATCCTACTTCTTCTTCATCCTCATCCTCAGAAGAAGAAGAGGAGAGGATGAAGAAGAAGAAGAAGAAGTAGGATGGAAAATAAGAATAATTCCAAGCCGGCAAAAAGTGTATGTGCAGAGTTCCTCTATTCTGCAGATACACTTAGAGGAGCTCTGCTGATACACTTAGAGGAGCTCTTGCAGATACACTTTTTGCCGGCTTGGAATTAATCTTATTTTCATCCTACTTCTTCTTCTTCTTCTTCATCCTCATCCTCAGAAGAAGAAGAAGAGATGAGGATGAAGAAGAAGAAGAAGAAGTAGGATGAAAATAAGAATAATTCCAAGCCGGCAAAAAGTGTATCTGCAGAGCTCCTCTAAGTGTATCTGCAGAATGTCATTTATGGAAACAAATAGATACAATGTTTCAACCGCTGTATGGAGTGAATGTCCCAGAACTGTCAGAAATAGACTATTTCTGACAGTTCTGGGACATTCCCTCCATACAGCGGTTGAAACATTGTATCTATTTGTTTCCATAAAATGGATCGATTTATGGAAACAAATAGATACAATGTTTCAACCGCTGTATGGAGTGAATGTCCCAGAACTGTCAGAACAGAAATAGACTATTTCTGACAGTTCTGGGACATTCACTCCATACAGCGGTTGAAACCGCTGTATGGAGTGAATGTCCCAGAACTGTCAGAAATAGACTATTTCTGACAGTTCTGGGACATTCCTCCATACAGCGGTTTTTGAAACCGCTGTATGGAGTGAATGTCCCTGAACTGTCAGAAATAGACTATTTCTGACAGTTCTGGGACATTCCCTCCATACAGCGGTTGAAACATTGTATCTATTTGTTTCCCATAAATGGATCCATTTATGGAAACAAATAGATACAATGTTTCAACCGCTGTATGGAGTGAATGTCCCAGAACTGTCAGAAATAGACTATTTCTGACAGTTCTGGGACATTCCCTCCATACAGCGGTTGAAACCGCTGTATGGAGTGAATGTCCCAGAACTGTCAGAAAATAGGACTATTTCTGACAGTTCTGGGACATTCCCTCCATACAGCGGTTGAAACAGTGTATCTATTTGTTTCCATAAATGGATCCATTTTATGGGAAACAAATAGATACAATGTTTCAACCCGCTGTATGGAGTGAATGTCCAGAACTGTCAGAATCCTTAGGGAACTATTTCTCGACAGTTCTGGGATATTCCCTTCTATCCTTCTTCTCATCCGGTTGAAACCTTCTTCCTATGGAGTGAATGCTCCTCCTGAACTTCTGTCAGAAATCCTTCTTCTTCCTCCCTTCTCCTTCTTTCATCCTTTCTCTTCTTCTCATCCTTCTCCTTTCTTCTTCCTCCTTCTCCTCTTCTCATCCCTTCTCCTTTTCTCATCCTTCTCCTTCTCCTTCTTCTGAATCCTTCTCCTTTATTTCTTCTTCATCCTTCTCCTTCTCTCCCTTCTCCTTTCCTTATTCTCATCCTTCTCCTTATCTCATCCTTCTCCT